GTATTAGGCTCGGTAGGAGGTTCGTCGTAGAACTATATCGTTAGCGTAAGCGAGCGCTCGATCGTATAGGGGTAGTAGAAGAGCTTTCTAGCTACGAGGAGGATTCGAATCGGGAGCTTCCGACTCCTAGAGAAGAAGCAAAGGAAGACGAAAACATAGTATTTCAGACTCCGACGTCGTAAATCCGTTACGAGAGGATAGAGGAGAGGGAACGTAGGAATTAAAAGGAGGGAAAGTAGGAATTTCAGAATCCTAGTACGCTACCCTATAGGGGTTAAGCGAATAGAATTCGCAGGCCTACTTCCGGCTGCGAGCTAATCTATTAAATAGTCTAATTCTTACTACTAACCCTCCTACCCTTTCTTCTATCCCTCTTCGTCTTCTTAAAATAGGCGAGGCTCCTAGTCCTCCGAGTTTGAAATCTCGAACCCTCTAATAAAGTTACGAATATAGAGTCCTTCGTAAGTACCTTCTCGATTCCCGAAGATACTAGGTATAGTTTATCTTCTTATAGTAGTAGGAGTAGAAAGGCCTCTAGAGTAATCCTATTATACTCTTTAATATTGTACTCGATAAGGGCAGCTATTATCTTAGGCTAGAGAGTCTGTTCGCGGCTTAGAGTATTCTCTCTCTTATAGAGCTTATATACTATCTTCGCGAGGTGCTTCTCCCCTTTCAAGCTTACTAATAGAAGGAAACTATTAGCGGAGTAGTTATAATTTTCTAGTATTAGCTAGGAGGGTCTAGGAAGACTACTTAAATAAGCCCTTTAGGCTACGACATCCTAGGTAAGGATACTACGGCAGACTGCGCGCTCGATTAGACTAAAAATCTCGTATAGTAGTAGGAGTCGTACTTCTCTAACGCAGATCTAGGATTATTAGAAAATAGTCGGTAGGTATAGTCGGCAGATAAGCTTACCTTTTTAGTCTCGCTATCGACAATTTGTGAAATCTGCTTTATAGCTGCCTTATTAGGGAGAACTAGACTCTCTAGAGCAATAAGTTTGTTCTAGAACTTCCGGATCGAGCGATACTATTAGTTATAAGCAGTCGTAAAAGTAGAAGAGGCTGCCTAAAAGGCAAAAGTTCTAATAGAGTTCGCTATCTCCTTATTAATCTCTTTTGATAATAAAGGATTAAGAATCGTTTCTTAAGGAAGGCATTCGTTACTAAGGCCCCTAAGTGCTTTATCGTATTGTTTACTAAGAGTAAGGGTATCCTATTCCTACTTAACCTAATCCTCCTTTTAAAATATTATCTTTGATTTGCTTTTACTATTTCTAAGCTTAAGAAACTAGTTAGCTTTATCGATTTCGGCCTATTCGTCGGGTAAGAGAGCTAGATTAGTCTCTACTTACTTCCTAGTACTAGAGAAGTTAGTCTTTAATAGGAAGTAGGAATACCGACCGCAGATGCCGACTATAGACGCCGACTACGAAACTTACGCTTTCCGGTTATATTCTACTATATACATCGATCTCTATTCCTTAACTAGGGCAGCTTAACGGTCCCTACTTAGCTCGCTAAACTCGCTAGACTACTTGATCTAAGCCTTCTTAAACCGTACGAACGATTTATTATAAGCCTTTCTATATCGATCCTAAGCTCTCTTCTCTTCGTCTATAGCGGTAGTACGCTCGCGGTCCTATAGGGTATTCGGCTTTAGAGAGTATTCTTTAAGTAACTTCGTAGCTGCCCCGAGCCTAGTACGCTTATTTTCTAGCGCCTCTAGTATAATATTCTTCTGTTTCGGTATAGTAGTATCGGTACAGAGGTAGGTACGGACGTAGGTAGGGATATAGGTACGGAGGTAGGTACGGTAGTACGTACGGTAGTACGTACGGAGGTAGATACGTAGGGTAGAAGCGCTTTAAGAAATAAAATTTCTCTTATCTAAGAGATTTAAGGTTTAGGCAGCAGCCGGAACCCTGTCCCGTAACCCCGAGCACCGACACTACCCTCTATAACAACATTACACTTCCGCGCCTATACTAAGCTCCTCTGCTACTACTATTATCGTCGATTTCCTAAATACCCCCCCTCTACCTAAATTTTATTTCGAATATAAGTTGTTGTCGCTTTATTCGCTATTACTAGGATAACTGCTATAGGGTATTATATATAAATACTACATTATTTAGAGAAATAGTTAGACTACTAACTTCTTAAGGTATCGTAGTACTTTCTAGTAAAAAAGTAAAATCTCGTAGCTAGAGCAGAACGTGTTCGGTAGACGTAGTCGGTGTATAAACTATATAATATAATATAAAATATACTAGTGTAGATATATATAGAACCCCTGTCCTAATTACTAATTACCTTCCTATACGATCCGATATACTCGAGAGATAAGCGGCTTAGCGATTTCCGGGTCTTCCTTATATCTACTAACTTATCCTCTCTTGCTTTTTTCTTATCCTATATATTCCTACTAAGTCGAAACTCTTAAAATGCCTAATATAGACGTACAATCTCTCTCTTCCTACGTCTCTTCCTCTCTTCCTAATAACGACGACGACTAGGAAAGAAGAGATAGTCCGTATTAAAAAGAAACGAAGGCTAAAGCACTCCCGAAGGCTGCCTACGATAGCGGAAGTAATAAGAGGACTCGACAGTAGTTAAATTAGACGGTTAAGCCGACGGAGGAGAGGCAGACGGAGGAGAGGCAGACGGAGGAGAGGCAGACGGAGGAGAGGTAGACGGAGGAGAGGTAGGCAGTTAGAGGTATAGGTTAAGTTAATAATAATAAAACGAACGAAGATTCAGACCTGCCGACTAAGCGGCGTAGTCGAGACAGGGTAGTATCGGTTTAACTAAAGGGGCTATATATTATCTATAATAGATCAGACCGATAGCTCTCTAATATAGCTTCCCCTCGACTAAGTCTCGCCGTAAGGAGACTAGGACATACGAAAAAAGTAGTACAGAAGACCTATCCTAGTAATAAGAGACTACTAGGAAGTTAACGACTATAGAAAAAGCCTATTGTTCGAAAGGCGCCTAAAGCTAGAAGACGAACGAAGGCTAGTATAGCCGCTCTCCGAGAAATCAGGAAATACTAGAAGTCTACGGAGCTTTTAATACGCCGACTTCTATTCTTAAGGATTTGTCGAGAGATTACGATAGATTTAGTAAGCAATACTAGCAATAGTATATACCGTTTTCAAGCTAAGGCTCTACTTTGCTTATAGGAAGCAACGGAAGCTTTTCTTATATAGGAGTTCGAAGTCTCTAATATACTAGCGATTTACGCAAAACGGGTAACCTTATAACAGAAGGATATAAAACTTTGTCGCTAGATTCGGAAGCGCTTTATAGGAGAAGCGAATTCAAGTGCCGAGCTTTGATCTTATAGTAATACGCCGACTACGTCTACTAACTATACACTCCTAATATCGTTTTCGAGGATAGTACTTAAAGAATTAGTACTAGATATATAAGATAACCCGAAAACGAGCTTCCGTAAGATGTTGTCTTCCGTACTAATTATATCTATATAAATCTCTAGGTCTCTTGTTTACAGGCTAGGTACTGCTTATACAGTCGTTATATTAATATTTCCTATTTCCGGCGATCTTACTTTACTATTTCTTACTTCTATTATCCAAAAACGGCAGGTGCCTACCCTACGTAGACAAAGAATCCCTAGCTTCTAATTGGTCGCGCCCCTAGACCCTGAATTCCGCCGCCTTTAAAGGTATTCCCTACTTCTAAAAAAACCTAACTTGCGATATCAATATTAGTTGTTAACCCCCCCCTCTCCCGCCCCGCCCCCTATCCGCTATAACTCCTCCTAGCCTCCGCCTACTACTCTGCCTACTACTCTACCTACTACTCTACCTACTGCTCTACCTACTACTCTACCTACTACTCCGCCTACTACTCTGCCTACTATACCGCCTACTACTACTATCGTTATAGCGCTGTTACTCGTAGCGTACCGTAAGCTTGCAATCGCTAGAAAGGTACTACGAATATCTAGAAAGAGACTCCCTAGTATAATAGGTAGGAAAGGGCTTCTATCCGTAGGTATAAAGAAAAATCGAAAAAAGAGAGGTAGTAAGTATACCTAGTCGGCAGACGTAGTCGGTATATATAGTCGGTATATACTAACATTTCTTTTAGAGGGAGCTTTATAGGAGATCGAAAAAAAAATACTAGAAGGAGGTTATACCCTATATCCTAAAGCTCGCGTTCGTACGTATCGTTAGGGATACTATTATCCTTTTTACCGAAGACTACCTCCCTATACGGATCTAAGCGAGCGTACTCGGTATCCTCTAGGAACAGTACAAGAGTATAGTAATCAAAGTCTTTTCCTTAGCTAATCTTCTCGCTATCTACTATAAGCGAGTAATAGTAATAGCGAAAGATCTCGAATATCTTCGTAGGCTATTAAAGGAGTAGAATATCTAGCTAGACAATTACGTAGTTGCTCTCTATAGCTCTAGCCTAGTTAACCCGAGTACGATATATAAGCCTCGATTAAAGACGAAGAAGACGAAATCGAAGCTAACTCTAAAGAAGCCGACTGCGAAGAAGAGAAAGAAGACTCCTACTATTAGGATCTAGACTAGACAGCGATATAGACATCTTAGGACAGACCCGGAATAGCCCGGAAGCACCTAAGATAGGCTAGAACGGGCTACTATAATTTAAGAGGGTTCAGGCTAGACCTTTACCGCTAATACTAAGTTAAGATAGTTTATAGAGAGTTAGAATAGGAGGTCTTAGATCGAGATATTCCAAATTAGACCCGAGAGGCTAGAGCCTCCGGGTACTCCGAAGTTATACTTATATATAGAGGGAGAAGACGTATTCCTACTCTTCTCCTAAGCGATTCGAGTAGTATATTTCTATTAGATACTTTAGCCTATATATCTTATCCTTTTATATACGAATCGCTTCTTGTTATATAACGAAGTATCTCTAACTATAGGTCCAAAGAATACGATACGCTTAGGATCGAGCACCTAGGATTCGGTAGCGACTAGTACTCTAACGGAAGTAGACGTCGTATTTCAGCTAGAAGCCGAAGAGACAGAGGCTACTAAGGCCTAGCAACTCCTTCGAGTAAGCTAGGCTAGGGAGGAACGTACTAAGTTGCTCTAGCAACTTAAATAATCCGACGCGACAATCTAATCTCTAACCGGAGTCCTCCTAACTAATAGATACGACCCTGTCCTAGGCTATCCTAGCCTATCTCTAGCCTAATTTATTCCTAAACTACGGAACCCCTATATATTTGAAGGAAAGAATAGACGCGACTAGATCGAATAGCGAGACAACTACGAACAAATCTTCCGAAGGGCCCTAGGCTACTATATAGACGCCTAAACTAAGATTAAACTCGGGGAAGAATAGATAGCAACCGAACAAAGATCCTAGTAGAACCGGTTTATAGACTTACTCCGATCCTAACCGGCCTATAATGCTCTATCTTAGTCCGACTTTAAGGAATATATACTTAATACGATAGGTATACCCTAGGAAAGGCGACAAATTGCCTACGACGCGATTAAATCTATCGAACAGAACCTTCGAACCCTAATAGAGCTCTTAACAGACCTAAAGGAATACTAGGACGAGCTTAGAACGGAGGACGAACAAACTAAGATTATAGAGTTCAAAAGCGCCCTAGATAGAAGGATTAAGTATCGGATTAATATTAATCTTACTACCTCTACTACCGTTACGGCCCTCGAGGAAGTAGCAAATATTTACTAGAGGGCTATCTAGGCCGAAAGGGATTATCGCTAGAAGGACAAACGCGACAACAAACGCGGACGGTCCGATACTACTAGCGAAACCGCTATCTACGCGAAAAGGTCCTAAAGCTACTCTAAAGCGAGCTAACCCCCGTCGACAGGACGACTAAGTCGACCTAGAGATACTAGACCTCTACCTAGGTACTACGGATACGGCGAGACGGGCTATAAACGCCTGGAATGCCCTAATAAGGCGGCTTAGGAGAACAAGGGGTCCCTAAAAGCTAGCCCTACCCCCTAGTGCTCCGGGTAGCGGGATAAGTAATATATACTAAGGAGTAACGACGATCGGTAGAGCCGTACGGCCGTTAGGCTACGAAGCTAGGGCTATATAATTTGATTAGGGTTAAAGTAACCCTAGAAGGACCGATAGGGCGGCGAAACATCTACGCTCTAGTAGACTATAGTACCTAGATAAACTTTCTAGATAGGGTAGTAGCTAAAGAAATAGGCTATACCCTAGAACGAAGGGCTTCGGCAAGGTACGAGACCTTGAATAGCTAAGCCCTCGCGGTCTCGGGATATATAAAGGTCCCTTTTAAAGTTTCGGCTAGTAATAGGTCGAAACGGGGCGGAACTGCCTATATCGCCGTTAGAAGAATCTATAGGTTCGAGATAATCCTCGGTATACCGTAGCTAGAACAATAGAACCCCTTAGTAAACTTCTTAACTAAGATACTAGCTTAGAAGAAGAAAACTAGACGTAAATAGTCTAAAGTAGCAATAATCGGCCTAGAACGGATACGCGCTAAGCTCGTAGACCCTAGTACGGTCCTTTACGCAATATCCTTATTACTTATCGATAGGACTAACAAAGACCTAGAAGGGCTCTCCGAGGTATACCGATAGTATATATCTGTATTCTCTAGTTAGGATACCTCTATTCTAGCCGATTACGGGCTATTTAAGCTCGGAATTAAGCTAGAAGAGGGCAAGATACTCCTATAGGGCCCTCTTTATAACCTTTCCGAGACAGAATTAGAGGTTCTCCGAAACTACCTTAAAGAATACTTAGACCGGGGCTAGATTAGGCCCTCTCGCTCCTCTGCTAGCGTAGGTATCCTCTTTGCGAAGAAAAAGGACGGAGGTCTTAGGCTCTACGTCGATTATCGTAGACTAAACGCCGTAACGGTTAAAAACAGATACCCCTTGCTATTAATCTAAGAATCCCTAGACTAGTTGTCTAGAGCAAAGATCTTTACTAAGCTCGATATAAGAGACGCGTACTACCGACTTAGAATCAAAGAGGGTAACGAGTAGAAGACTATATTCCGGACTAGATATAGCTACTTCGAGTATACCGTTATACCTTTCGGGCTTACTAATGCCCCGGGTACGTTCTAAGGGTATATAAATAATGTATTAAAGGACCTAATCGATATTATCTGCGTAGTCTACCTCGACGATATCCTTATCTACTCCTAGAATAAAGAGGATTATATCCGAGACGTAGTAACGGTCCTCGAACGGCTATAGAAGGCTAAGCTCTACGCCAAAATAACTAAGTATAACTTCTATAGAGACTAAGTTAGTTTCTTAGGGTACCTAGTTAGCCTAAGAGGGGTCGAGATAGAGCTAGAACGGGTCGCTACAGTCCGGGATTAGCTAGAACTAGAGTCTATAAGAGATATTCGGATCTTTATTAGGTTTGCTAATTACTACTAACGATTTATATAGTACTTCTCCCGAATCGTAGCCCCCCTAAATCGGTTAACGGAAAGAAAGGGCGATATAGTAAAGAGGGGATAGAAGCAACGGAATAAAGAGTCTATAAAGATTAATCTACCTTCTAAGGCTAAGCAATCGTTCCTTAAGTTAAAGTAGGCTTTCTGCTTAGCGCCTATTCTAAAGTATTTCGACCTATTACGGGCTATCCGGGTAGAAACGGACGTATCGGGCTACGTAATCTCGGGCGTTATAATATAGTAATACGAGTTCTAGAGCAAGATGTAATAGTTCCCGGTAGCCTTCTTCTCTCGCAAGATAGTCGCGGTAGAAAAGAACTATAATACCTATAATAGAGAACTCCTTGCTATCGTAGAATGTTTTAAAGCCTAGAGACATTACTTAGAGGGCGCGTAGCACTAAGTTAAGTTAATAACCGACTACTACAACCTACAATAGTTTATAACGACTAAAAACCTCTCCCGGAGATAGGTAAGATAGGCGGAATAGCTCGCTACTATAGACTTTAGAGTAGTCTATAGAGTAGGGAGCCTTAACGGGGCAGCGGACGGCGTAAGCAGACGTCTAGACTATATAGACCCCGACTATTCCGGCCGCTAGCTAAACTAGGAGGACTCCTCTATTGTATTGAAAATACTATAGCGACAGATTAACCCGGAAGGGCCTACTACCGGCTAAGATAGCCCGGTACGGGCTATAATAGCAGTAAGAGAGGCAGCTAGCAACGCCTCGGGTTACCGCTACGACCTATAAGTAGAGATAAACTAGAGCCTAGTTAAGAGGATCCGAGAAGATACTACTACGGACGAGACAGTAGGAAAGGTCTCGAAAGCTAAAACTCCGGATTCTCTACTAATATAGACTTAAAGATAGACGTACGAAAACGGCCTATAGAGCTAGAACGACCGTATCTTTGTCCTAGAAGGACTATTAAGGCTCGAGATACTCCGAGAATACTACGATAACCCGATAGCGGGTTACTTCGGGTTCTAACGGACGATCGAACTCGTACTAAGAAGATTCTAGTAGCCTAAGGTACGAAGCTATATAAAAGACTACACTTCGAGCTGTACGACGTATACTAGAGTAAAACCGAGGAGATACAAACTATATAGCCTGTTAGCAGCCGAAGACGCCTTAAGTGCCCTATAGGAAGATTTGACTATAGACTTCGTTACGGACCTCTCTCTATCTACCTTTATAGGCTATACCTATAACTGTATCTGCGTAGTAATAGACAGATACTCTAAGATAGCCTATTATACCCTATATCGGAAGGATATAACTACCGAAGACCTAGCCGACCTCTTCCTACGAGACGTATTTCGCTTATATAGCATCCCGGTATCGATAGTAACGGATCGAGGGACGCTGTTTACCTTAAAATTCTAGAGTATATTCTACTACTACTTAGGCGTTCGGAGGGGCTTAAGCACCGCGTTCTATCCGTAGACGGATAGGTAGACAGAACGGCAGAATTAGACTATAGAACAGTACCTCTACGCCTACTACAACTACGAGTAGGACAATTAGGCAAGGCTACTTAATATTGCGGAGTTTGCCTATAACGATAGCTAATATACTTCTACCGGCGTAACCCCGTTCTAGATCTATAACGTTAGAGACCTAGTATAGGCAAGATAGCCCGATATAGTCTAGAACGGGGGGAATGCCCTAAGGGCGGAGGCCTTAGCCGACAAAATGATTAGCCTCTAGAAGACCCTACGGGAGAGGCTCGTCAAAGCTAAACAGAGTTAAGCTAAGTACTATAACAAGGGACGTAAGGCAAAGAAGTACGTAATCGGGGATAAGGTATACCTATCTACGAAGTAGGCCTCATTATAGGTACAACCCACCCTAGTAGGTATGTAGGGTAGGTTGGGTATTAGCAATACCCAATAGGTATGGGTATTTAGCTAGGTATACCCAACCCATCGGGTTGGGTACAAACCCAGTAGGTATTGCGATACCTAGTAGGTATTGCGTACCTATTAGGTATTGAATCTTCGTATATAGAAATAAAAAACCCAGAAACCGGGTGCCCTAACGAGAGCGAAGAAGCGATTTATTTGGACTAGGCATAAGAAAAGAAACTGTATATAAACCCGATATAGATACGAAAGTGAAGATTATAGTTAAATTGAATAAAGAAGCTCAGGATTATATATACGCTATACTATAAGTTGTGATATTTTGAATCTTAAGAAATATAGTCGGCAAATATAGTCGGCAGGTAAACTTTATACAAGCTTAAAGCAATCTCCCTATAATCGTCTCGTAGCATCCCGGAGGCACTCTTGCGCAAGCTTGAAGCTTAGGCGTACTAATCGCCTTGGCTCCTCTACTACATCACCCTCGTTATCGCTAATCGCATCTAAGTTACTAATCCGTTCTATAAGATCTTTCGTCTGCTCTCGGTCTTTACTAAGGATCTCCTATAAAGTTAGAGTACTAAGAAGCGCTTAGGAAACCTCTATAGCCTCCTAGGCGATAAGAACTCTAGTATCGTACTTATCGTCCCGATAGCGAAAACGAGATACTATCAATCTAGAGAATGTTGCTACGGTGTATTGGCGATTGAAACGACTTTGGTGTCGAGCGATACTAAAATCGCGCTTATACCTAACTCCGGCGGCAGGAATGCAGAGAATATCCCGCGCTATTAATACGAGAGTAGGGTACTTAGACTCTATTGAAGACTACGTCTTTAGTACCTCGAATGGATCCCCTTCATCTATATTAGCGTCCAAATAGTCAGCGAGCTCGTCATCCTCGTTAGTGCTGCGTCTTTGACTTTGAGAAGACTCTGTACTCCTACTAAGAGTAAAGTCGATATAGCCTTTGTGCCGACTCCTTCCAAAACGGCCCTGCTAGGTAGAGGTACTCGATAATGAACGATAGCTCTTCTCCTACTCTGCCCTTAGCTTACCCTCGTAATACGCGCGGTAACTTTTATCCCTAAAGTCATCGCGTACCCAGAACTTCCGCTTAAGGCAGGGGGTAAGGAGGACGCTAATACCGTAGTAATCGCTAAATCGATCCTAGGTATCTCGATAATATTTCTCTAGCTTAGCCCAAGCAGCCTCGTATACCTAAAAGACATCCTTCTTCTAGGGTATCCGCTTATTCTTGAGTCGCTTTATCGCCTCCTCCAGAATATCGAAAAGCTTGTTGTAGTATACGAGGACAAGGTAAATCGTCGGACCTTTCGTAGTTCTAATCACCGCTGTCGCCGCTGCAAATGGTTTCGTAAGGTCGATAAGGTACTCTACCCTTTGCTATTCTTCGGAATCGATGCCTATATCTTTACCTAGATCAAGTCGCTCGATATAAGATTTAATAACCACTTAGAGTCTGCTAAAGCGATCGAGCATTAACGTTGTTAAGGACTACCTTGTCTTCACGTCTTGAACGACCCTTAGGATACGATCTTGAACGCCTTTCTACCGACGGTGCTTTGCAAATAGCTGCTTCTTTTGAAGCATCTCTTTCTAGAGGTCGATAAACTGTTCGAACCTTTAGGAGCTCGAGTTAATAAAGACACAAAGCTTCTGGATCTAGAGATCAAGATTAGCTGGAGTAACGAACTGCCGACCATAATTGCCGACTACGCGAGTCGACTATACTTTCGAGGTAGAAGGGTTTATAGTTTATTAGGCGTAGACACTAATCTTACCTTCAAAAGAAGATAGGGCATACTATTAGCTTAAGGACGGCTGATTTGCTTGCTCTAGACTCTTCTTCTCTATAATATCTTTCTATCCTTGTCGTAATCCTAGAATTCGGAAAGGTCGTTCGTAGGACAAAGCCCTAGGCGGTCGAAAAAGGCCTTTAGGGGAAGTTGAGCAGTATAGGCAAAGTAGGGAAATCGCTCCGGACGGCTACCTCGATTACACTCCGTAATTGCCTCCTCCTCTTCCTCTCCTATCTCTAATTCGGGACTAGTCTCCGTACCTAGATAGAGAGGTAGCTGCTCCAAGCTCGTTAGTAGCTTAGTAACCGTTATACCGTACCTCTCTTAACAAGTATTAATCGCTGAAACACTATAGAATATTAGAGGAGAGTAATAACAGTATAGCAAGTGTCCTTACATCGCATTATGTAGCGTCTTATTGTTAGAGGCGTTGTCGTACGTAATAGTAGTCAATCGCCGCTTAATCTCGAACTCTTGTAAGATCTCGAATAGTATCTCTGCAAGATAATTACTAGTATAACGGCTAGTAATATAAGGGAAACTAAGCATCCCTTCGTGCCAAGTCTATTAGTCGTTAATCCAGTAGACCCGTATAGTTAGGAATAAGGTTTTTATAGTCCTGGATTGCTAACCATTATACGCGATAGCTATCTTAAATCTTCTAGCGAGACGGGCTTTAAGGGAGTCGGCGGAGTCTATAACCTTAGTATCGAGCATCCTTCGGTATATCGACGCGCATTTGAACGGAATTGTCTCGACCTGTCCCGGAAGTAGTGCTATATAAGTCTGTTTCACCGAGGGTCGTTCAAAGAACTAGAATAGTAGACCGTTGTCGACAATCATCTCAAAGTATAGGCGCGGGAAATCGTCTGGTATGTAGCCTAGGTCCCTTGTCTACCGTAGATTACTAACAGTCTAGA